AGCACACACGGACCTCTATAGCAAAAACTCTTGATTCTGAAACTATATTCATAAATCGTTCACCCTTGCTATAGAAATATATCGTAACAGCGCACAAGGACCATAATAATAAGAGCAGGATTCATCATTCCTCTATAACAAAAGCTCCCAATTCTGAAACTGCGTCTGCATCACAATGTAACCTAAGATATAGGAATTCCAAAGTACTTGAATTCTTTTTTACAGCGATTCTATAATAATCTATAATAAAAAATCTTGTTAACATCAATGAAATTAAGTAGTAATATTTTTCCAACAAATAAGGAATGTAATCATATCATTTCTTTTTTTTTTAGAAACTGTTTCCTATTTTAACTTAATGTCACAATGTGTTCATAAATCATTCACCCTTGCTATAGGAATATATCGTAACAGCACACAAGAACCTCTATAGCAATAGCTCTCGATTCTAAAACTACATTCATAAATCATTTACCCTTGCTATAGGAATATATCATAACAGCATACAAGGACCATAATAATAAGAGCAGGGTTCATCATTCCTCTATAACAAAAGCTCTCGATTCTGAAACTGCGTCTGCATCACAATGTAATCTAAGATTTGGGGATTGCAAAGTACAATCGATTATTTACGGAACTTTTTTTTCTTTTGGATTCTTTTTTATGCATGATTCTATAATAAAAAATCTTGTTAACATCAATGATATTAAGTAGTAATATTTTCTCAACAAATAAGGAACGTAATCATATCATTTCTTTTTTTTTTTTTTAGAAACAGTGCCTTATTTTACTTAACGTCACAATGCGTTCATAAATCGATTCACCCTTGCTATAGGAATAGACCATAGCACACAAGGACAATAATAAGAGCAGTTGTATTTATAGATTGTTCACTTTCTTCTATAGCATAGTTTACAGAACTTTTTTTCTTTTGAAATATTTTTTTACACGTGATTCTAGAACTTAGAAATACACGTGAATCAATAAAGCGCTGAAATTTATAGTGCATAACAGACTCTAGTTGTGATTGGTTAAGTAATTGCAGTCAACTGTCACATTATTTGTAGATCTCTAAACTGGGTCTCTCAGTGATGGTAAATGACCTGAACTAGCAATATGAAAAATACATCTAATAAAAGTAAGCTATACTATGGCAATTTGAAAGAAAAAAAAAATTATATCGCAGCTGATACTGAAAACAGCTCATGCTGAAATTTGGGGTCTCTATTTAAATCTATAATACCTACTAAAATCCACATATACTTTTTTATTAATAAAACTACCCTACTAATCCTAACCTAACTATGAAAAAAAAGTGTACAAAAAAGACCCTTATAAATTCATAATAAAATATGAAAAAATTTCAGCATCAGCTATTTTCACATCAGCTGCGACAATTTATATAAATAAATTTTTTTTATAACTATACCCAAGGTCATTTAACATATGTTAATTGATATTCTATTGCCCTTTAGCAGCTCCTTTAGCCAATCTAGAGATTGTAGGTAACTTAATAATACCCGGGTAGGGATTTTCTTAATAAGTTCAATCTCTAAGCCAATCAGAATTTGCATCAAACAAAATTAAAATATAATCTATAGCTATTTTTTTTTTTCTAGTATCCACGGAACAAATGCAGATAGTATATATAAACTATATAATTCTCTATATTTATGGATAATTGTGAACTGTTCTATATTAAAACTGTTCAATAACAATAATGGTTTATTTAATGTATATAAGGATTGGAACATTTAAAATTTCCTTACCCATTTAATTGTTAACTATTTAATTCAGCCAGCATTAAAATTTCTCTGACTCATGATTGATATAATATACCCGGCGCAAAAATACCATTCCTAATAGATCGTTGGTACTGTTTCTGAAAGGATACCATTCCTGATAGGGTTCTTAAAGGAACCCGAAATTAATTCTCACGATTATGCTTAGTTATAATACGATTATACTAATTAATTTAATCTATCTATATAATTAAAATATGATCTTCGAAGTGGCGTAGTTCCTTTAAAGAATTAACTATAGCTGGTGCAATAAAATTGAACTGGCAGATTCTCGAATTTGATTAGCTAAGAGCGACGGCCAAAAAAATAGGCCGAAATTACTCATAACTTTACTAAAGAAATTATAGCCACCTATTAAGTGAAAAAATTTCCCAGGCCAATCTTAGCATAATGCGGGCTTATTTTTAAAAAATTCTTAATGAAAAAATTAAAAGGTAAATTTGGTCAGAAATTAGTAAACAATTTTGTAATGTGGGCCAAAATTTTGCGAGTTCTTTATTAACAATTATAAAATTTGTCTAGTTCATACATCAAGAGCCTAGCACCAAATAAAAAAAAGATCAATTAAGAGATAAAATTTCTCAACTACTATACTATATTTTTCAATGTTGAGTAATTCTTTCATGAAAATTATTATATAACATAACGATCTTAATACAAATATTAAAGGTAAGTTAAAGAGCTGTCAGAATGGTTTTATAATAGGGTCTTTTTCATCCTAACATTAACTACAAAGAGATGCATAAGATGCAAAGAATATCTTAGAAAGACATAAATATTTTAAAGAAATCTAAAACATATGAGCTAATATGTATCTCTATATAGAGGAGAGAACCCTGTATTCTAAAACTTTTTGATAGTGATACAGGTTATTTGATAATGCAATTATTTGACAGACAGCTCATTAGACAATTAATTATATCATATTTGAGGTGGGAGGTTTATTTTTAACACTACACAGCAATGCCAAACGGTGTATTTCAGTATGCTCAGGCTAATAATTAGATGATAATCTAATGGGTTTCAAGATAATCTAATGGGTTTAATGCAAACCCTTCTTGCAGAATAAACCCTCAATAATCAAAACAATAATCCTAATAATTCATCAGACCAATCAAAAAAAATTAAATAAGGGGTTTAACCTAAATTTAGTGATTTTATTTAGAGCCCAATATACTCCAATTGGCCCATATAAATAGCAAATTATTAGTATAGATTATTATGTGTTGCAAAAAAACAAATTTATTTGATGTTTGTTTGGGTATATTCAAACATAGTCTAAATGCAAATACTTTAATGCATAGAATTGACAAATTCTTTTGTTGTGGTCTTTAATATTCATGATTATCAATTAATCTGGCCAGTAAAAAATCCAGTAGTAAAAAAGAAAAATGCTAAAAATTACGAATATTAGTTAGTAAATATAGGTTGAAGTACTCCAAAATAAAAAAATTTTCAAAGGTTTAATGTATCTTGAATAATCTTTTATAAAAATAAAATTTTACTATATTATTAATAGTATTATTACAATTACAATTATGATTTATAATTATAAATTATAATAGACTTACTAGTTTACTTATACAATTATTTAAAAACACAAGGACTTTTTCTTGAGTAGATCTTGCGAAAAAAGAGTATATATAGCAAGTGTTTTGATGATCTATGATCAGGCTTTTTGCCAGAACATATTAAAAAAAAAATCTATATAATAATTTTATTATTACTGAAGTTGTTTAAGGTATTATATATAAAGATTTTGTATTATTATTTGTAAGATAAACATATTCTTAAATAGAAAAGTAAAGATTCAAACTTACAACTATATTAATTATAAAGCCTATTCAGTGTTGTTACTAGATGCTCAGTATTCTAGTAAGAAATTTTGCTAGAACATATTTATCTGATTAGCTAATTTAAACATAACTATTAGCCAATCAAATTAGTTAGTTAGTAACTAATTATGTTTTTAAGCTTCTGAAGCTATTCAATACAATATACAACTCATTTTTTGATACTAATTTAAGATACTATCACAGTAATTCTTTGTTCATATTTTATTATAATAATATAATCAAATATCAAAAAAACATTGTAAAAAAAAAGATTTTTGTATTCAATTTTACAATAATTCTTTAATTCATTAACAAAGTCTAATATTATCACATGATTTATGTTGGATTATTCGAGTTACTCTAGTTATTAAAAATGTATCTGTTTGTAATTTAGTAATATTTATGTAAACAAATAGATACCCAGAGTTTAAATTTTATGCTAGTTTAATCTCTGTTTATTATTCTGGTAATTAATTCAAATTGACCAATTAGAAGCTATTAGATATTACTGAACATTATCAGAACTTTTATTTAAAATTCAAATTTGTTTTTTATTCTCAAAAAGAACAGTTTTTAAATAAAATTTGCTATTTATTACTAGTGGCAATATCATTAGAGATGCTATATCTTGATAATATACTAAATAAATAAAATCAAGATATCTAAGTAAAATATTCAGAGCCTCTAAAACCTTACAAGAACTAAAATCAGAACTTTATATCTAATCTATATTATACTATATTATATAAAACTCTAAAATAGCACTCTAACTCTATACTATATAAAAAGTATAATATCATTACTAGTAGTAAATACTAAAATTATTTTAAATTTTTAATTTTCTCAAAGTTTTTTAAAAAAATAAAATCTCAAAAAAATTTTTCAAATAGAAAATATATTTTAATAATTTATATATAAGGTTGAGTTAATAAAAACCAAGTAAATATTTTTTAATAAGTTTTTTTTAAAATTTTAAACAAGAATATCTTAACAAAAACTTAATTAAATTTTTTTAAATTAATTTTTCAAGTTTTATTAAATTTAATTAAGCTTTTGTTAAGTTATTTTTATTTAAAGTTATAAAAAACTTTTATTATAAAAAATTTGCTAATTTCTATTGATTTATCTTTATATATAGTATTTTCAACAATTATATAATATTCTTTAAAAATACTAAAATTTTAATATTTATCTAAAACAAAGTAACAAATCTTTAATTTATATACATAATAATACAAAAGTTAATTTCTTAATATATCAAATATTAAACTATAAAAAAAGTAATTTTGTATTTTTCTTTTGTTTGATTATTATTATTTTTTTTTTTTTTGGTGTTAAGGTGACCTCTATGGCCGGGGACTTTTTATTAACTTATTAACTTCGGGTTACAGTTACAACGAGGGTACATCAAGCCACACGTGTACTTT